ACTCTGATTTTAAAAACTTTCATTATGCTGTAATGCTTTAGCATTTATAATGACGATATATTAAATTCTGATTATAGACAAAAACATTTTGTAAACACGAATAGTGTTAAAGAATTTCATTATATTCTAAAGTAATTATTTATTTGTTTTGACGTTTATAATTAAATGTGTAGATATATACATATTTATAGTAAGAGAGTGATTATTTCCCCTATTTCACTTGTCTTAAATAATTTCCCAGGAATTATTATGTAAGAATTTTTTTAGCGCAATTTCCATTCTGGAGAATTGCGTTTATTAACTCGTCATTTCTGGGAATGGATGGATGGATGAATGTGTGTCCGGGCTTTAAGTCGTATCTCCTCCTCAACGAAGCAATATCGATGACTAGTTCCAAAAGCAGTTATGTTAAGCAAGTTACGAGAATGAGCATAGGCCATAAAAATTCCGGGTTTCTTTCATGTATTTCCCGTAAAAGCCAAAAAACCTCGAAAAAATGCAGTTTTTGGCCCATATCTCGGCAACCAGACCACTTAGCGACTTGAAACATGTACCAATCGATTCCTGCCATAATTTAGAACAGTATTGCCGAAGAAAGTTTTCAAAAATATCCTCTCGTTCGGTCACAAATTTTAAAATTACATAAACACCTACAAACCGATCGCTCTTCAAGCTTGAACGCACCCAATCATTATACGTCAGAGCTATTTTTAGATAACATAAGGAAATTGCGCATAAATGTCACTAGACTTTTTTAATTAACTTGTTTTACAAGAATTACAAAACAGATTGTGTTACGTTCATTGTTTTTGGTTGTTGTGTGTGTATATTTTTTTTTTGTTTAGATTGATACAATTTTTGTTTTGTCGGCCTACATTGTATGTTTTTTCTTATTTCTTCAGAGTGCTTCTTTCAATTTATTTTACATCATAGCGAAGTAATGACATAAAGCTAGTAATTATATATATATATATATATATATATATATATATATATATATATATATATATATATATATATATATATATATATATATATATATATATATATATATATATATATATATATATATATAAAATACACGTATATAGAACGTGTTCAAAATTCGGCGCCTTTTTTTTGCTCTTTTCGCTCCCCCAACAACGAAAACCTGGATACGCCTCTGCCTCTACCACTCGACCATGTCAGGGTACGCTCGAAGGGAGGCTAAAGATATCGAAAAAGTCGGGCCATAAGTATCGAATATTCTTGAACAGACCCTGAACTTTTATGCACGTTCCAGAAACCTATAAATGGTACCAGAGCTTCGCGGAGATAAGGCTAAAAACGCGTCCATTAAACAGCAGACATGGGGCGATTATAAAAGCATCCAAGCTGTCGCTATATTTAGAAATGTAAATCTTGATCAAGATTACGGGCGACCCCTGGTGCCAGACAGCACTGAAGGTTTTACAGAACGTGTCAGACTTTTGGTAGCTCTTAACTGCGGATTGTTATCTTTGTATCCTCATTAATTCATTGGATAAAGATGAGTTTTGTTATAAAAAAAATTTCTCTCTATATATATACGTTTAAAAGTGTCAGAAATTCATCTTTATTTATTTATTTATTTATTTATTTCTACAAGGTTTTTATTTAACTTGCTTCTTCGTGCTTAATGCTTTTGTCTGTTTGTTGTGCTTAGTCGGTCACGAGTCGAAACAGACGAGCGAAATTTCGACCACTTCTAAACGGACCAATTAATTTCAAACTTGGCACGTAGGTCAAGAGCCGATGACAATGCAATATATCACATTTGACTTAATTAGATAGTTAATTAATTTTTAAATAAAAAAAATCAATTAACATTTTCTATTTACAGTACTATTTTCTATGCCACTTTGCGCACATTTTTGTGTTCATTAGTGTGTAGTAGTTTTTAGTCACGCGATTCTCTTGGGCTAAAATAATATATTAAGACGTATATAAAAAATTAATAAAAATTGTTTCAATAACAAGCTTTTATATAACAATGCACTAAAAGTAGAAAATAAATTATTTTCTTTAAGTATATAATAATGCAAATGTATTTAAATAACTATTTAAAAAAAGCGAGGTCAAATATATTATCCATTGAATACCTTGACTTAAATTTAAGAAGCGACCCACGCTCTTGAAATAGAAATGCATTATTATTTATTTAAAGAAAATAATTTTCTACTTTTTTTGGGCATAATTATATAAAAGCTTTTTATCAAAACGTTTTTATTATATTTTTGTTTATGTTTTGACAAAAATCACATTTATCATGTACTTTCATTGTACGTGATTTCCGGACAAAGCTTCGCCTTGTTATGAACGATTTTCTGGATAAACTATTGCCTTGTTATAACTAATCCCTTTAAACCTCGCTAAACTATCCCGCGGAGCTAATGAGCTGAAGATTAAAGCTAGTCTTCAAAGGTTTATTTGGCTAATAAAATGCACTTTTCTTTTAACCCAAACTAATCCAAGACAGAGACGGGTGGTGGTTAGAACACGTTGTGTCTCGTTAATTGGATGAGACTTCTGGTACAGGAAGATTGGCTGGCTCATGATTTACACGTAAATATTGGTTTGGTCATGATTTACACGTAAATATTGGTTTGGTCATGATTTACACGTAAATATTGGTTTGGTCATGATTTACACGTAAATATTGGTTTGGTCATGATTTACACGTAAATATTGGTTTGGTCATGATTTACACGTAAAGATTGGTTTGGTCATGATTTACACGTAAATATTGGTTTGGTCATGATTTACACGTAAATATTGGTTTGCTCATGATTTACACGTAAATATTGGTTTGATCATGATTTACACGTGAAGATTGGTTTGGTCATGATTTACATGTGAAGATTGGTTTGGTCATGATTTACACGTGAAGATTGGCTGGCTCATGATTTACACGTGAAGATTGGCTGGCTCATGATTTACACGTGAAGATTGGTTTGCTCATGATTTACATGTAAATATTGGTTTGGTCATGATTTACACTAGACAATGGAAGATTGGTTTGGTCATGATTTACACGTAAATATTGGTTTAGTCATGATTTACGCGGTAAGGTTGATTTGGTTGTGATTTACACTGAACAATGGAAGATTGATTTGGTCCTGATTTACACATGAAGATCGATTTGCACGTAAAGATTGACTTGGAAAAATTTACACTGGGAGAATCACTAGGTCATGATTTAAGCTGTGAAAATGGCTTGGTCATGATTTACACGCGAAGACTGACTTGGTCGTAATTTACGTGAAGACTGGTTTACACACGGATATTCGTTTGGACCTGATTTACACGCAAAAATGACTTTACCCAGAGCTTTAACAATACAATACGATGTAGACTTACACTGGACCAATTAAAATGGTAGCACTGGCCTACCTATAAACAAAATGGTAGCACTGGGCTACCTTTTAACAAAGTTAGCACTGGGCTACCTTCTAACAAAGTGATATCACTGGTCTACCTTCTAACAAAGTGATATCACTGGGCTACCCTCCAACAAAATGGTAGCACTGGGCTACCTTCTAACTAAGTTAACACTAGGCTACCTTCTAACAAAATTGTAGCACTGTGCTACCTTCTAACAAAATTGTATCACTGGGCTACCTATGTACAAAATGGTAGCACTGGGCTACCTTCTAACTAAGTTAACACTAGGCTACCTTCTAACAAAATTGTAGCACTGTGCTACCTTCTAACAAAATTGTATCACTGGGCTACCTATGTACAAAATGGTAGCACTAGGCTACCTTCTAACAAAATGGTAGCACTGGGCCACCTTCTAAAAAGTTCTAACAAAATGGTACCGCTGCTACAGATATCAGACAAGCGTGAATTTTAAGTCACGGCATCACCACTAATCCCAGATCCATTTTAGATACAAAAATCGTCTGCACACAAAAAAGCAGACGGCTAGAGAGTAGCATCCAACTTCTGATAATGGTTACCACGGCAACGTACGCCGATATCAGGGTAGATAACCGCGGTCTCGGTAAAGACGCATAAACTAGACTTTATGGATCGAGGGTACAGTTTGATGTAAGAAATACCCGGATGTTATCGTTACGTCATCCATCAGGAGGAGACAATGATAGGCAGTAAGCCTCGCTTTGGTCTCACCTTTCACCTCCAGGATAACCTCGCCAGGGGAGGGAATTCCATTTTTAGTGGAATAAAATGATTTGTTGTTCGTTGTTTAAGTTTTATGATTTTAATGGTTTTTTTTGGTGTTTTTATTTTTTAAATTTAAAAAAAAATTGTGAATTCATTAAATGTTTAATACAAAAGTGGGAAAGCTTGTGAAAAATAGTCGTCGGGTTACAAGTATGATCACTAAAAGTTCAAGGCTTTTAATTAGTAGAATTTTTAATTTCAACGAGACAATTTCAACAATATATTTGTTACTTCATTAAAAACAACTACAAAAAAATAATTATTAAAAATCGCTGCTGTAACGTATTGTGTAAGTTAATTAAATTTTTTTTTTAAATCACTGCGTGTAAGAGATAATTAGTAAAACAGTCAACTGAGACACGTGATCAATTAAACTACTAGTTCAAATCAGGAACAAAGGTGGAAAAGGCTCAAAATAGAACAGTTCATGATGGCGGTAAATTGTTCCATTTCTAACACACCGCGTGAAAGATTTTTATTTAACTTGATCTATTTTAGGACGCCAATAATAAACACTAAGTAGCTACACTCGACGTGATAATTAATCATGACAAAAAATAAATAGTATTATATGCACATAGTAATATATATACATATATATAAATATATATATTTATATATATATATATATATATATATATATATATATATATATATATATATTCCTTTACACCCACACCAGCACATAAACACAAACACCTACATGAATATATATATATATATATATATATATATATATATATATATACAAGTACATTTAGGCGTACAAGGGAAGACGATATGAGAACACTTACCACAGCCTGTATACCAGCTAGATTATCGTTGTAATCAAAGATTAGCCGGGACTTATCGTTATGTGGGTGGACGTACAGGAATCCATGGTAGGTATCCACTGTGGGGGAGAAAAAAACGAAGAGAAATGGTTAGAACAATTAGCTTGAAGCATTATGTAAGAAAATTCAAAGTGTGTATATGTCGAGGAGGGGGGAGCAGAGTTTCTTCCAGGCATCTCTTCGGGGGGGGGGGGGCCCGAAAAATTTTTACCGCCCCCCCCCCCCGAACGAAATGAAATTTATATAATTTATATAGAAAATATATACTTTTAACAGTATCCGCCCCCCCGAAGAAAGTTTACCGCCCCCCCCCCCCCCCCCGAAAATTTCAAGTGCCCCCCCGGAGAAAAAAGTCTGGAAGAAACACTGGGGGGGGGGGGAGAGATTTGATCGTAAAAAATCATGAGTTCATTTAAAGATGTACTAATATCGTACTTAACACATATATTTCCGACAGGTTTATGAACAAAATAAACATGTATATGATTAGACTTTTTTCTTTGTTCTTAATTATAATATTGTAGGGGATTTCCTCCAACACAATTATGTATTACGTGTCAACATGTTATGCGTCTTATGACCCATTGACTCCTACATCAGCCTACTTTCATTTCTAGATTCGCTTCCATAGCCTTTCTCTAATATACACAGTCAAACTCATACATATTTGCTATAGAGGCTTAAAAAACGGTGACGCAAGTATACCCTACTTATAGTTAGTCTAGGAACTAAAGGGTTAACTGGTCACAAGGGACATATAAGAAAACATCAGACACGACTTACGTATACGTGTTTAATATATCATTTATCTGTAATAGAATACAGGGGAGACTCCTCGTTGTCTACAGAGTGCAATCTATTATCTGTCTGTTTTTGTTCTGAGTGCTTTTACACTTTGTATATTTATTCAGTAAGATTATTGTTATAAAAATGTACCTTTAAACTATGTGTTTTTACCGTATGAATATTGTTACATTTTCTATTTATTACATAGGGCGATTTGTTACTATTTCTGTATCGTTACAATCCGGGTATAGTTACTGAAAGACAATTACACTATATATGTATTGTTACTACCCAATATAGTTACAGTATAAGTTGTAGTCTGAGTATTCAGTCAGTGTGGGTATCGTTACCAGTGTTCCCTCTAAGCTGCGCGGTTGCGCGGCCACGCAGCAGTTTTGAGCTGCCGCGCAGTGATTTTGTAAAATAAATATATCTTTGTATAAGATTTTTAGAACAGCGCGCACACAAAATACACTAGCTTTTCCTCCTTAGAGGGAACATTTATCGTTACTATCCTAGTATCGAAAACGTCCGAGTATGAAGATTATTATCAAGTATTGTTACAATCCTAGTATTGTTACTTAATTAATATCGTTACAGTCTGCATGCCGTTACTGTTTGAGTACCGCTACAATCCTATAATGGTTACTGTATACGTATTGTTACGGCCCGAGTATCGCTACAGTCCCAGTATCGCTACAATGCCAGTATCGCTACAGTCCGTGTATCGATACAGTCAAAGTATCGCTATAGTCCAAGTATCGTTCCTGTCTGCGTATTGTTACTATATATGTAATCTTCCTGCACGAGTATTGCTCAATGTATATGTCAAGTTACAATCTATATTAATATTGAATATTCTGTATGTCGTAACATTCTGTATACTATTACGATCGGGGTATTGTTACCATGTATATATTGTAACACGTTGCATGTGTTTATGGTTTAAAATTTAGTTTCAAGTAGATACGTCTGGCATTAGATATGAATAAAATATAAGCAAATGATAAGAGTAAAGACCATTTCACATTTAGATTAACATTACAGTTTATTTATTTTTTATTTGTTTTTTTCACCTTATGTGATGTTTTTCTTTTCTTATTATCAATACTAAAAAAAAAAGTTTAAATAGAGTTATGCTTAGTAGATCCAAACTACGCAGGCAGAAATCTTTAGCATGACGTCGCCGTACTAACAAATGAGTAGTGAGTGGGAGAGAGAGAGAAAGAGAAACTAGAAGAAAGAGAGAGTGTGCGGAATAGAGAGAAATAGAAAAATAGGGAGAAAACAGGAAGAAAGAGAGAGAAAGATAGGTTAAGCTAAATTCCTAACTACGTGGGTAGAAATATTTAGCATGACGTCACCACGACGAGATAGAGATAAAAATAGAGGGAGAGAGAAAGAGAAATAGAATAAGAGTGGAAGAGATAAAGATAAAGACAATGTGGAGGAGGGAAAGAGAGAGATATGACCTATAAAGAAAGAGAGAGAGAGAGAGAAAGCGAGAGAGACAGAGAGAAAGATAGAGGGAGAAACAGAGATAGACAAAAAAGAGAGAAAGATAGGAAAAATAAGAGAGGGAAGATAGAGATAGGGCCTATATAGGGCCTATATAGAAAGAGAGAGCGAGAGAGAGTGAGACAGAGAGAGAATAAGAGTGAAAGAGAAAGAGAAAAAAATGAGAGAAGGAAGGAAAGAAAGGCCTATATAGAAAGAGAGAGAGAGAGAGAGAGAGAGAGAATTGATGAAAGGAAGGAGTTGAAGAATTGGAAATTGAGGCGAGGGTTTTTATCTGCCAAGATCAAGTTCCAGAGAAAGTTGTCTCTCCACCTCTGAGACCACCGTGGTGCCATCGAGCGACCGCTTGACCACGGCCCTGACCGGTGACTAATTGACCTCTCGGGACGGAGCTGACCACTTCATCATACAAGCCAAGCAAGGTCTGCAGTTGTTTCAGACGACAAAAAATCGCATACATTACGGCAAACATTGGACACGGAGGGGCAGGGGCGTCGGCTGGGGAGATACAAGGTTGGGGTGGGGGTGTGGAAGAGGGAGGGTGGGGGTAGGGAAGAGGGAGGGTGGGGGTGGGGAAGAGGGAGGGTGGGAGTGGGAAAGAGGGAAGGTGGGGGAACACTGTCTTTGTTCGACTAAGCTGAGAAATCGGCAGTTGGAGTTTTTGAATAATAAGTATGTTGCAGATGTGCAACAAACATATTTTCCTTGTCAAGATTTCATATATATTTGTTGGTATATGTCATATTTAGTTACAGCAAAATCTAACCTAGATATCAATGGTGAAAAACAAATTCACTAAACTTTTGTAAATTATGAATTTTGAAAACATTGAGTATTTAATTTCTTATCTTAATTACTTCATTAACTATCTTTAAAGCCTTAGGTAAAATAAGAAACCTTATTTTCGTAATAAAGTCACTCGTATTACTTTCTGAAGGTTAGGTATAGGGCTAAATATATTCAACACTATTTGTAGATTCTATGTATATGTAGATTCTATATACTGACTACACGTGTAATGCTTCTTTCACGTTACGTTTTTTTAAAAAAATAGGGCTGGTAAGTAGGTCACCAACCAGTTCTACGGCTCAATAAAACCTGCATGAGCCATAGAACTAGTTGGTGACCTACTTACCAGCCCTATTATAATACATTGGGATTAAAATGTTGAAAATAAAATCTGCACATGCGAAACGAGTAAAAAATGTTTAAAAGAGTAGATCCTGAGGCTCGTTCGCTGGGAACAGCAACCCATCTAGGAGAGAAAACTCCTTGTAGTTTGTTCTTGGTTGAGCAAAGACTAAGAAAGTACACCCAGAAAGAAAAGAAAGCTGAAATCGGAGTTAACATACCATAAGGCACATAACATGTTGACACGTAGTACTTAATTGTATTGGAGGAAATCTTCAATATTACAATTAAAAACGAAGAAGAAAAATCATAATAATAATCATACTAAGAGAAGTGTTAACAGTACAAATTAGACAAAATGACATTCGTCTATATCAACTCAATGCATGACATCATTCATTCATCAGTCTTCCTCGTCTCGAAACACGCTTAAATTAGATTCGCCCTGTTGGGGGGTGACAGCGCCTCTCCAACGCATAGCCAGGGCAGCAAACCATTTAAACTGACGAGCTCAGTAAAGTATTTTTAAAAGGATCGCTAACGATCTACAAATATTATTTCACTGTTATACTTGTCAAGCTACTCAATGACACGTATTTGCTCGTCACTCCATATACAAATTGGTCGCTTCGGGTAAAGTATTTCCAAATAGATTGCTTAGAATCTCCAAACATTTTTTTTTCTTGTATCACCCTTGTCAAAAAACGGTTCCAGCTCAGCAAACATAATCATCGTCTGGTGTCAGTGGTGAATACATACCAGGATCGAAACCCGGCTGGCCGGACGACAACCTCTGGCACCGTCTGATCCCGCTGACCCGGGGTACATTGTAAGTCGTTAATTCCGTCTCACGGGCTGAGTGTTTGCTCATGACTCGTGTGACGGCCGTGAGCAATCAATGGACGGACGCTTGAAAGTGACCGGAACACGGGCCGGTTGCCGGGAGCGGTCGAGTCATCAGAGCCGTTTGTTATGTGAGACTTCCGGCGCATGCCCGAAAATATGGCGGACACTGGGGGGCGTGGTTTTGGACGCTGGTGGGATTCATGCGCGAAGAGATTTGGTGGGTTGTGTTGGTGAGAGTTTGGTGGGTTTCATGTGTAGAAAGTTTGGTGGGTTTCATGTGTAAAAGGTTTAACCTGTCTCGTGAGTCAATGTTTTTGTGGGTTTTTGTTTGTAAATAAGTTTGAGATTGAGTGGGTTTTGATTGTAAAAAGTTCTATGGATTTCGTATGCGAAAATTTGGTGGGTTTCATATGTAAAAAGTTTGGTGGGTTTCGTATGCAAAAATTTCGTGGGTGTCGTATGCAAAAATTATGGTGGGTTTCGTCTGCAAAGCTTTGGTGGGGTTCGTATGCAAAAAGCATGGTGGGTTTCGTATGTAAAAGAAGTTTGGTGGGTTTTTTTATGCAAAAGTTTGGTGGGTTTTCGACTTGTCATAACCGCTTTATTGCCACTCTAGTTTAAAGTGTTTCACTCAAGAGCTTGAGTAATTTCTACTCTGACGCATGAGATGCCATACCCACCCACCCTTACATTTGTTTAGCACACACCTAATGACTAAACTCCGATCAATTTATATTACCATTACACAAAAAAAACAACTGGCAAGGTGTGGTCGGAT